TTACAATTCTCACGTTATTTCTGGTCTTTCATTTAGTTGAAGTTTTGCCTGAAAATGAATGCACATGTAATCCAAATACTCTGTTGGGCTTAGCTCTGTGCCCCACTAACAGTTGTCTTCTCTTCAGTGATAAGGTTGAAGAAGGTGATTTAAACTTGACATGCACAAGTGGAAGTGTTTGAACTTATTGAATTTACTGAGTTTATAAAATTGCAGGCTGATTAATTTTGCCATCTAGTGCTTTGTTTAATTTTAATTAAAATTAGTATTTCTTAAAACACTAGGAAGGTTTTCTGCATTACACATACCATTTACCTCGTAGATACAGGAACAAGGAGAACAAATTCTCTTCTTCTCCAGAATTTGAAATAATTTGGATGTAATTTTGAACTTCATGACTCACTTTTGGTTCTGTAATTGTCTGAAATGGGATATACAGTCCAAATAATGTTTTAACTTTTAGTCTTTATCTGACATCAGGTTTACCAGTTGTGAAGTAAATATTTTTCTATGTTTCACAGATGCATAGAAAATGAATTCTTTGGAACTTTTATTTATGCTAATCACTTTGTCATTCAGATCTGAATAGAAAATTATTTTGTTTCCAGGAAATAAGTGTTTACAGTACAAGTGGTGTTTTCTGTGTGAGTCCTGGGGACATTGCGGTTGGTAGTATATTCACATCTATAGTATCAGAAAAAGAAAGTATCAGAAGACTGAGCGTATTTTGATGGTATCAGTCAGCTTTTGTAGCCTCTTGTGCTGAGTCTCTTTTTAATGTTAGAAAAATTAATAACTTCTCTTTGATTGCTAGTAGCTGTTGCTGGTAATGAAACCAGACTTGGCAAAAGCTGTTGTAACGCTAGAGCTCTTTGAGTGCATTTGCTTTTAGCTGTTTTGGGGATGTACCTCTGTACATACGTCAGTCTAATTTCGGTGCTCAAAGGAAGGAAAGGGGGTGGAGAACAGCCACCAGTTTTCTTTAAGGAAAGATAAATCAATAATGAGTGTTACTCATCTCTTAGAAGCAGTTTACTTCCACGCATCTTTCTTTGATGGCTGCTGAAAAGGTAACGACCTTTTTGATCTGTTCTATATGACATTGCACAGGGGTATTAATTTTTACTTACTGGGGTGGTGTTTGTTAGATTGCAAAGATTTCATGGGAAGACCACAACTGGAACTTTAAAAAGTGTTTATGTTTGGGTTTTTTTACCTTAAGTGCTGGGGTGATGAGATGTCATTAAAATCACAAGACATGTTTGATAAAACATTATCAAAGAAATTATAAATAATTTGCATCTGTGTATGCAACGATGTGAAAATAACACTGCTGCAGCCAGGTAGTATAAAATAACACATGTAATTTTCTTAACTAAGAATAAATTTATGTGATTGGCCTCTGCAGAATAGAAAATAGCCATAAATCCCAGGAGCTTTTGTGATCATTTTTACTCTGAACTTCCTTAATCTATGTCCTAACTACTGATGTATTGCATCCATCTTCTGCGTTAATGGATGAAGTAATCTAATTATCTCAAGTCAATGAAGGCTGTGACTTTAGAAGATCAGTTTATTTAAATGTCATTATTTTGCTAATGCTTAAGGATCTGAGATCAGTAATACATTAGATGCAAAATTGCTTTGGGAAAAAGTAGCTTGCTAGTGAGGCATTTCTAGGTTCAAAAACTTAAAAAATAAGCTACCTTTTGCAAACTTAATCTTGTCCTAGGTAGGCCTTTTGGTTGCTCTTCAGTTACCTAACTGCACACTATTTTAGCCTGACATAAAAGAAAAAAGCATGGTTTGTTGAGATTGCACTGTGTGCATGCATGTCTCCCTCTCCTAAGACGTGACCATGTTGGTCGTCCCATCTCCTTTATGGTGGCTTTGAGACTTCACATGATAGTTCCAGAAAGCTACTGATCCATCTGCAAAGTGCCTGACATTGGGTTATTTTAAATACATAATTTAAAATAATGCTTGAACAAAATATTTTATCTGAGCTTTGTGCTGAAAAGGGAGAAGTGTCATGGTATTTACCGGAGAGGTTGCTGTTGCTTTTGGTTTATATAGAAGATGCTTGGCTTTGAGATTAGCTGACCATATAAAACAGCTAGCTAGCTGGATTTGATGGGTGAAACATGAAAGGAGGGCATCTGTGAAGGTTTTTAAGATTGTTTTTTCCTGTCAAGGAACATCATTACTGAAAACACCACTTCTTTATTATTGCCAGAAAACTAATCTAATGCAGACAGCTTGTGTGTTAGAAAGGCTCTTTTTTTAATTAGGAAAGCAGAGAGCTTTTCAGTCCAATTTCACAGCTCTGTGAAATGATTATGAGTTCAAGTCTGTTGTGGGGCACAAGGATTATCCCCCATTTTGGAGGATATAGTACTTTATTCTTAAAGCTTCCTCACCATTAAGCTAGGTTTTGAGTTCTCTTTGGCTATGCAAGAAAAATTGACAGAACACAACAATTGTCTGAACTTAAGTCTTCATGAAGATTAAAAAAATCCGCAACTGTAGGAACGTCCAGATGCAATATTAGTAGAGCTGCTGACTCCATGATGTATTTTAAACTTTGTTCTCTGCAGTGTGTGATGATCTTGCCCAGTGATGAGAGTGCCACAGTGGCTTTTTCCCTCTCTGTATAGTACAGATACCATAGGATGTAGGCCCCCCAACACTTTGCAGTAGGTTTGTTCTGTTGTTTGGTACCAGAGGATGTGGCTAGTTTTTCCATCCTAGTCTCTGTTGGCAGTCTGTTGCTGGCATTAGATTCGGTGCTTATGATTTTTCACTGCGAATAGGATATGAAGTGTAACAATAGACCAACTATTTTTGATGATGGTGTTTGCAGTACCGCTGATGGGCTGAGGTCGAATGCCCTTCTGGAGAGCCCTGCCCTGGCTAGGGCAGAACTCGTGTCTCCTGGGGGGAATAGCTGTGAGCAAGACAAAGTGGAAACAAGGGGCGGCTCCAAGCTGTTCCTTCCCTCACACAATTTAAATTTGTGCAAGCTTGAATAGCTGAAAACATTTTCTTTTAAATTATATGCATCTCTAAATAAGATTCTGTATGCTCTCAATATTTTTCATACACGAAGATGTCATCTGAAACCCATTTCCCAAAACAGGCTTGAAATACAGAAAACTTTGTGCTCTTCCATGACAAAAGGAGATAGTCCTTTTTTAAGGAATTTGAAGGAGATATCAAATAGCAACTATTTCTGTGCTTGCTTAACTGCAGATGTTGCTCTTAGTAACTGTTTTACAGTGGCACATTCCTAATAGCTCTGTAAGATGTTCATCTATTTTCTTGAAGATCACTAGAGCGGTTTTATTTGATCCACCTAATAATGACTATCATGAATTTG